CCCCCCCCCCCCCCCCCCTAGTGTCCGTCACTGGATGGAACTACCTGACAAATACGATCCCTATCAATCCCAAGCTTTCTCATGCATTACTGTCACAGAACATTCCTGACACAAATCCCTGTCTGGGCGCATGTAAACATTTGCTTGATAATATAGCTAATTTATATACACACGTCGCAATCCGATTTGCAGAGATTTATGACACACTTTAAAATTTCATAAATATTCACGCTTCAAAATTAGATTTCCACTCGACAATTTCCATCTACAATACTCATCAAGTAATATTCATTCAAGTGAGATGCCACAAAAATCTTGAATTCAAAAGGATACTCTATCCAGTCCCTAGCGTTCAGATCAGTGTTGGCCAGTAACTCCAAGCTTAGATAGCTGTCACCACAAGATTTTTAGAGTTGTTAGCTAGTAACTCTTATATATAGGTTAGGAAGCTAGCTCTCCGCATTATTTTTGTAACTGAATTCCTACAGTAATTCAACCAAGTTTTGAAGTTTTGCATTTGGAGTTAGCCTGCCTGCACTTTTACCATAGAGGTAGCGTCGCCCCATGGTTCTCTAACTTCCAGTGGCGAAACTAGCCATAGCAACAGGTCATGCTGTGCAAATTTCTCTAATGCGAACTTCTGCTTCGCTAATGCTAACTTCTGCAGTCATATTTGGGCTCTCTAATAGTTTGTGTTTATTTTAGGTTGAAATGCAATGGACGTCGATGATTGAACCAAGACTTGTTGTCGTCTAAGCCTTAAGAAAGCTAAATTGTCTTCGCCAACGAGAGCGAAGTCGAAGATAAACGCCGTTGTATCCAAAACAAAAATAGTAAATGTAGAAAAACTAGAATGCGTACATCTTCCCTGTCAAAAAGTGTCTCTTGCATGTCAAAAAAAGGCTTTTGACTATACTTCCAGATTCCATTTGCAACCATTTCGCGCGGTAAAGGCCTGGTCAAACGAGAGTTGATGACTTTCATCGACTCTCATCAACTCTCATTAATGACTTTGAGCTGGGTCAAATTTTGATGAGAGTTGATGAGAGTTTTCGCCACGCGCGCGGTAATATCCTGTCAACTCTCATCAACTCTTGTTCTCGTTTGACCAGGACACGAGAGTTGAGAAAACTCCCATGCAAACTCTCACTTCTCAACTCTCATCAACTTTCATGCAACTCTTCTTCTCGTTTGACCGGGGCACGACAGTTGAGAAAACTCTCATGCAAACTCTCGCTTCTCAATTCTCATACAAACTCTCGCTTCTCAATTCTCATCAACTCTCATGCAACTCTTGTTCTCGTTTGACCGGAGCACGAGACTTGAGAAAACTCTCATGCAAACTATATCGCTTCTCAACTCTCATCGACTCTCATCCGGGCTTATGGCCCATTTCCACCCGGGGAAATTTTCCGCAGAAAGAAAATTTTGTAAAATGTGATTGGCCGACACAAATTTCCCGTCGGAAAAAAAGTTTTGAAGTTGAAAATTTTCAACTTTTAACATGATATTTTCGGAAAATTTCTGCCCGAGGAAAATTTTCCTGACTGGAAATGGGCCTTACTAAACATTAAACTTTATGCATAACAAAGTAGCTGTTCAGTCTCATTTGAATATGCAAACATTACTCGGAGAAACGAGCTTCCCATGACAAAGAAGTTATTCGTTTCACTCGAACGATTCTGACGAAACGGTTCAACAAGGCCAAGGGTACGCTTGAAAAGCGACGAGACAATCGGACATGATTCGTAATAAAGACGTACGCATTTTATGTCCATTCTTTTTACGATGTAACAAAGCTGTTCTCGCAAGCGACGAACGATATTTTCTTGGATGAATGAGTGCACTTGTTTCATCTGTGGTTACATTGACCTCCTGCTAATTTCACTGACATTTTACCGAATAAACGTGCAGGTGACTTTCACGGCTAATTAACTGCCAAATTACTACCTTGGACTTTAAATATTTGCTCTAATTCACTTCCTAAATTGGTGAACAACATACGCAGATTTTAAATCCACTAATAATTTTGTCGCGCAAACAAATGACTTTATTCTAACATAATAAGTAACTTATAAGTTATGTTAAGCTCTTCCTAAAAATGTCGTTCAGCGCAAAGAAATTCGCTTGAGGAATTCCGGCTTTAAATACTATTGTATAATTTCTATTCGTATTTTGTAAAATTTTTGTTATTTTGCAATAAGATCGATTTACACAACACAACGTTTGAGTTGTATTGTGTAAATCAAGCAAATACGACGCTGTGTGTTTTGTGCCCCCTGAAAACTGTATATTTGAGTAGTCATTCAGGGGGGCTGTTCTGTTCCTGTTTACTAACGGAAATTTTTTTACATATCAAAAGCAATTATATATGCCATATATTGCTACGGTTGTATATGATTGGTGTTGCTTACAAATTATTTCCTGTTGTTTCTTGTAATCCTGCTTTAAATGAAAATATAATCTTATTAACTCTGTTTGATATTCTGTTAAATTAAAACTTGGCCAATGTAGTTAGTTAACCATGACATTTTAGAAATTTAGATAACCCCGGGGCTATTTTCATAGTCGACTTACTGGCATTTCACCAATATGGTCCAAATGACAGGTACGCTTGGAAATTTATAACGAAATCTTCCCGGGCCCTGTACAGCTGTGTAAATAGATCGTTTATTTTAATTGTACATCCTTTTGACTAGAACCATAGCTTCAGTATCATTTTTTGTTGTATAATATAAAAGAAACATAAGAGAAATAAAAGAAAATAGTGTTTTTTTCCGAAAGGGAAAGTTGTAGAATTTTTTTGCGGGAAATTTAGCGACCTGCTGTGGGCACTGTTCCCAGGGTCCCTCGCGCCGGCGCGCCATGTTCACCGTCAAAACATTATGTCCTCGACAGATTCGTTTACAGGGACTCTTCAAAGTATAACAACTTCTCCTGAAAAAACCAACGTGTTCTCGCAAGTTCCGACCGAAAAGCCCTTTCACTACACGTAAGTATGCATTGGTTTGTAAACCATTGCTTTCCCATGGCTAATTTTGCTTCTGCTTTCGTTTCACTCGCAAGGTACCTGAAAGAATTTCGTGTCGAGCAGTGTCCCCTGTTTCTGCAGCACAAATGTACGCAGCACAGGCCGTTTACTTGCTTCCACTGGCATTTTATGAACCAGCGAAGACGTCGGCCAAAGAAAAAGCGGGATGGAGTCTTCAATTATAATCCAGACGTGTACTGTACTCAGTACGACGAGACAAGTGGAATGTGTCCGTCCTCAGACGAGTAAGTCGTCACACAAACTTTACACAAATTTCTACCACTAAAACAACGCTATACTTTCACGTAAAGAAAGACACAACACTATGGAAACTTAAAGCGTTCTTTAATGAACTTAAAAACCTTTTTTATGTTGTTTAGCTGTCCGTATTTGCATCGTGTAGCTGGCGACGTCGAAAGGCGCTACCATCTTCGTTACTACAAGACAGCAATTTGTGTTCACGAAACGGACTCGAGAGGGTTCTGTGTTAAAAATGGCCCGCATTGCGCCTTTGCACACGGGCCACACGATATAAGACAACCTGTGTACGATATTCGTGAACTACAGGCGATGGAAAGGGACGAAACACCGACGGAATTAGGCTTACAAGCGCCTGATAGCAAAGTACAACTAGACGACCCTCGATGGCAAGGTCTGTAAAAATTTAAAAACCTCGCTCTTTTTCGTAAACAAACGATTAAATCTCGCTTCCCTGCTGTAAAAAAATTGGCAAGCGTTCAGAAAGCCATAGAATTAGCCCAAAGGTCCAGTAGTTTCTTGGCAAATTCTACATGAAAACGCTGATTTTTGGAACTTATTTACGAGGCAAATCTATTTGTTTGTTTCAAAATTCCAACACAACTGGTACTTTTGGGCAAAATATTTAGCAAAGCATTTCAAGATTGCGTTCGTTATCCGCTTGTATTTTGCTCAAAAATATAGCCAGCTAAGCGATAATTGTCTGAAAAGGATTTTAAAGGCCCAGTCGGATCGGATGTGTAAGCCGGATATACTTCTGATGCGATAAATCGCACGTATTATTTAATTGATGTGCCATGGTGGCAATTTCAACATATAATTCATTTGACAAACCCAAGGGTTACTTGTACAATGGGTACATGTATTTTTAATGAGTGTTTTCTACAAATTTGCTAACAAAACTGAAAAAGCCCTGAGTCAATTGGAGTGGAATTTTAATAGGTTGGCTCAGTTTTATAGTTGCTCATAAAATTTTATGGTGGCTTATCTGATTTTCCTTGATTATTTTTAGCAGGGTCAGGGTTAAGATTAATTGCCCCAGGCGATGTTATTATAATATTGTCTCTGAGGAAATCCTCTTTTCAGACAATATATGTCTTGAAATAAATTAATTTGAATATGGGTATGTCATGGGTGGATTGTATGTGGTGGTACTGTTTATAATCAGATGACGATGCTACAATGCTACTAATAGTCGACTTCCTCTGTTGTACTATATTGACTTAGTATGACATATGCTGGATTGAAAAGAGACAGAGAAAGCGACAAGTGTTAAATATTGGCTACAAAAATTGACAGATATATCGGTCCAACTGTTCAAAATTTCTCCCTTGCTTGTTTTTTGCGAGCATGTTTATTTATATTACGATCGTCAGGACAGCTCTTTAAGGGGGGAAGCAATTTCACAAGGAGAACAATAGCTTCATAAGTGGCAGACACAATGCAGGGCTGTTGTCCCCAATAATTTCCAAAATTTTCCAAAATTCTGTGAATGTTTGCAGTGTAATCAATTAACTCCCAAAACTCTTCTCTTGATAAGTAAAATTGGCTCACATTAGCCAGGGTAGGTGCATTAATTCCCGTACAAGAAATCCAATTGGAATTCCTACAGGAATTGCTATTGGAAATTTGCCCAAATTCCAGTTGGAAACAATTGGAATTCCAATGGGAATTTAAATTTTCCTATTGTAATCCATTGAACTTCAGACAGAAAAAATCACTCCAATTGGAAATTTGCCCAAATTCCAGTTGGAAACAATTGGAATTCCAATGGGAATTTAAATTTTCCTATAATGTAATCCATTGAACTTCAGACAGAAAAAATCACTCCAATTGGAAATTGGCCCAAATTCCATTTGGAATTTCAATTCCAATTGGATTTTTTTGTATGGATAATTTACCGTAATTCGGACACTTTGTAGCTTAACCCATTGAGTGGCAGCACTCCCATGACGAGTAAAATTGTCTGGCATTAGACAGAGTAAAATAATCAAGTAGGGCACATCTGAGTCTCAGCATTGCCAAAGGGTTAACAGGTGGGGGATAATTTCTGTAAGGACATCCCTTATGAAAAATCCCTGTAGGAATTTGTATAGGAAGTTTGGATTCCTATATAGGAATTTCTACGGGAATTTCCAGAAGTTCCTATAAGAATTCTTATTGGAAAGTCAAAACTTCCTGTATAGGAATTCCTATATATATACATATATATAGGATAAATTTTTGAAAAACCCCAAGAGCTTAGCCTAAGTACACAAATAAAAGTAAATATTGCAGATTTCAAGAGAGCTTCGGATTGGCAGGGATGTAAATACATGAAAAATACAAGGAGGACTTCAATGTTTTGAATGCACTTTATTTGGAAGTTAGTGTGTGGACGAAAAGCTCTCCTTGTATTTTTCAGGTATTTGTATCCATATCAATCTGCATCATTCTTATTATTGGCACTACTTACATATCGCACAGACCGTTTATGATTGTATTGCAGAATTCTCCATTTTTTTTACTCCAGAGTGTCATATCCAGCAGTTATTTGCATCGGAGCACCGAAACGTGTTTTCCTGCTTTGCAGGTGTTTAAAGCAGGCGTTTGGGTGGTTCTGCATGGCTGAATAAAACCCCGGCAATGCGTTTCAAATAAAACATAGTGAAGGCCCTTTGACGGGAAGTTAGTCAGGATGGGATATTATTTCAAACTTATTATATGTAATCAGGGTCTGAAATTTGCAGTATCCTGATATCCATGGGATATTAAAACTATGAATGACTTGCATACAAAAAAATTTCCGGAAACATCATAATTTTCCGGACATACAAAAATTTTTCCCAGAATACAAATATTTTTCCCAACATATCGTAAGTTTTTCCAGACATATTATTTGTTAACTTTTTCCGTCATTTTTTGTAAATTTTGTAAATTTTTGCTACAACTATTACTATTTATTCCGATCCACTCAAATATTTTCGCTCACCATGAAACCAATTTCTCGATAAATTCGAAAACAATTTGCCGAGTCTAGCAGACATTTGCCAAATCTGTGATGAAAGGGGGTGTCACACACCCCTCCTCTAGCTATGCCCCTGAGTTTGCCACCAGCCTTTCCTCATTTTTCCTGTAATCACTTTATCTATTGCACATGTTTTGTCATTTTTGTTGACAAGACACTGAATAATGAGTATATGACAATTGATTTCAATTAGTGCCATGCTTAATGACCCTGTCCACGAAAATGGGTGACCACACCGGCAGTACTTTTTGTGCAGCCAGTTTTGACACGCTGGCTAAAAGTCTGTTTTAGGCCTCAGTCATAATATATCATGTACTTAAATCTACCCTCATTTAATACTTTTCTCACTATTTTTATCTCATTTTAACTATAGATACAAGTTATGTGTTGGCACATTATAAAACAGAGCAATGCAAGAAACCCCCAAGGCTATGTCGTCAAGGTTATGCTTGTCCACATTTTCACAATGCAAGAGATTGCCGAAGAAGTCCTAGAAAATTTAGATACAGGTTTGTAATGCAAAATTAACCAATTAGGCCAAAAAAGAAATACCTGTGTTTCCTATTTCTCATAGGCAGGGTAGGTCCGAGTTTTTTTTCATAAACTTTTTTTATAAATGCTTATGCATGATAATGATATTCCACATCAATTGCAGCAGCACAGAGGGCACAAACATTCATTAAATGTTACATCAATTTTGGAACAAACAAGTTATACTTTTAGCTACGGTAATACAAAGCTAACACTATATGCACGAACTGGGTACGAAAATGTGCTCCCAGCTCTTTGCGAATTAAATTTCAGATAAAAAGATTAGGGTTGGTCGGTATAGGGCCTAAAAAAATACCTGTGGTTCCGGTTCCTGACCAACCCTATTTTTTCTGCCGACCCTATTATTTTTTCAACACGATTGACCGTGTGACCCTATTTTCTCTGGATGGTGGTTGCGGGCTGCTCATACAGCGTGCCAAAATGGTGTCTGTTGTCACACTAATTATTGAACCAAATTGCCTAAATCCGTCCATAGGAAATATGCATCTCTAGTTAATATTGATGTCGGAACTCTGCTGAAAATCGCCCAGCAAAAAACTGCCAAAACCATGAAAAAATATTCAAAAAAGAATTTATTTCCGACCTACCGACCCTAATTTGTTCATGATATGAAACTGGAACCACAGGTATTTTTTTAGGCCTAGGTTTGGGAACCTAGAAACCCAGGTTTTTCCCTTTATAAGGGACAAACTAATGCTTATTACCTGTAATGAAAAACTGAAAAAGATCATTCCTTGAAATTTTTCCTGGTATTTCCAGGTCAACTCCATGTCCTAATGTGAAACATGGAGATGAATGGGGAGAACCTACCAATTGTGAAAATGGCGACAATTGTCCATATTGTCACACCAGAACTGAACAACAATTTCACCCAGAGGTAAGAATAAACATAACTTGGAAGTGTGACTAACCCCAAATATAATTTTTGGTATGTGTAATATTTGAGTCATTCTAAGAAGAAATGTAATGTATCTTTATAGTAAAAAACCTCATCTTGATCAACTTTTTCACTTTCAAAGTTTCCAATTATGATGTCATAAGGTGAATTTTTGGTACAAAAAACAAAGGAAAACTAATTTGCAATTCATCTAATGACATCATATCTGGAAACTTTGACAGTGAAAAAGTTGATCAAGATGGGATTTTTTATTATAAAGATATATTACATTTCTTTTTCGAATGACCTAAATATTACACATACCAAAAATCGTATTTGTGGTTAGAAAGCGCTTGTGCACAACGTTGCTACACTATTCGACAACTTTAAGGCGGTTTTCCACTAGGCGAAATTTTTCGACCGAATCGAAATTTTCTTTTGTCTTACAAGCACTCAGATGGAACTAATCAGAAATCTTTTGAATTTGAACAATATAAATTTCGGTTCGATCGAAAAATTTCACCTAGTGGAAAACCGCCTTTAGGCGATTAGCTGAGCGCTGAAATTCCTGACGCGTGGGCACATCACTCATAGTTACCTAAAATCTGCATGAAAGCAAGTGGTTATGATTTAGTTTTCGCATCGTTGCAACATTTATTATTGTCGATTTCAAGTCACTTTTCAACGCGCGGTTCCCAAGTTCGTTGCGAACTTGCCAATTACGTTTCCAAGTTCGGAAATTGGACGCGAACTTCGCCACAAAGTTCTGCAAGTTCAATGTTCATACTCAATAATAATAACCAATTCAATGAAATACAAACCTTCTTGGTAGCCCACTGGACCAAGAACTTTCCATTGAATTGTTAATTTCAACTTGAACTATGAACATTTGTTTACAATAGTTCAAACATTGAAATGTACTTGCGAACTTTGTTGCGAAGTTCACGCCCAATTTTTGAACTTGGAAACGTAATTGGAAAGTTTGCAACGAACTTGGGAACCGCTCATTGAAAAGTGACTTGAAATTGATAATAAGAGTAAGGAGTAAGAAGTGACATATATTAAAGAACTGAGCATGTACCTTAGCCTCAAGGCCTTTAGTGCATGTGCACAAATTCATGCCCCAACTCTGTTTGCAAAACAGTTTTACATCTAGCCCTAACTGTTCTACTCATTAACTAACTACAAATACAAAATATGTTTTATAGATTTATAAATCAACTAAATGTAATGATATGCAACAAACTGGTTATTGCCCCAGGGGGCCATTTTGTGCATTTGCACATGTAGAACGTAAGTGGACTGTAGTAGTCGTTTGTGTATCTACAAAAATATCTTCTTCGTTTATTGAACTGGTGTGTTTAAAATTCTAACTATTATTATTAATTAGAACTTTTGTTCTCAATAATTTTTGCAGAAGAATTTTCAGTATTAGATGAGAATGATTATGGACAGGTGAGACTTTATCAAGAGACTAATTGCATATTAGAAATTGCACTAATTGCATGCAAGAGACTAATTGCATATTAGAAAAGATCTGTATCTGACTTGTCTCCGGAGCTGCAGGAAATTCGTTTGAATGAAGATTTGCTATTGAAAATTTGAAGGAAACCTTAACACCCATGTCCCACTATGGGCGCAACAACATATGATTGACAGACATTATTCCTTGAATTTAAAACCATGGTCAGCTAGAACACTATATGTTTACGCACATGAAGATTTAGCCCAGAAATACTCCGTTGATCTGCAGGAAATTTGTGTTTCCAGGTTGTGCTCCCAGGAAGAAAATTCTTCTTTCCTTCACCGCCTGCATGCTGCAAGCACAAACCTCCGTCGTGCATTAACCGCTTCGCCAAATCTTTTGTTCCACAGTTTAGCACAAGTTTATCACAAAGCAGTCCTGGAAGTCAGATTCCAAGTCATGTGAACGTTCCTCAAGCCAAGACCTCGCGATCTCTATCAATGTCGTCAAGTTATTCTGGTGAAACGCCATTGGCGGGAAGTTATCCCAGAGCGCCTGGTTCAGAACGTTCCGAGTCGAGAAGTAGTTCAAGAGATGCAGATGATTTAGTGAGTGTAATATCACTGGATTGTATGAGGGTGTTAATGGGGTATATCGTGAGTCATGATTCACTCAATTTCGGTTACCGTCAGTCGTGAAAACACTAAAAATATACCGTGAAGCGTGTGGGAAAAATTACTGTTGATCGTTTCAGAACACTTTTCAAAGATTTACCGTCAAAATACCAAAATTTTTACCGTTTACTGATTTTCAGACCCCATCTAGACCCTCGAATGAGAAATATTGAATGAGAAATTACCTTTTTACACTAAGAAACATGATTCATCAGACAGATGATGTACAGTCAGAAATGCTGTGCTGAGTGGTTATATTACTACCTTAAAAAACAAGCAGAAACTCGACGTTTCGAGCGAAGGCCCTTCGTCAAGAGTTAGGTACTCGACTCGGGCCTCGAAATAAACGCCGGTCATTGACCGGTAAAATATTCAGTTTGACCGGCGAATATTATATCGCTAACCAGACACGCATGACCGGTGAAATTTTGAATGGGAAAAAGCGTACACGCGCGGATTTTTGTTTCCCAATTTACTGTCATTTGTCAATAAGGAGATGCAAATAAATCACCACAGCTGGAAAGAACATACTAAAATGAGTAAAACTGCAAAGTTTATTTGCGAAATGTCGTAAAATGCAGAAAATATAGCCTTGCAAAGTTTGCACATTTTGTATACTTTTGTATTGCGTGCCGAAATTGCTACCATTTTCTGCTCAAACGTGAAACGTGGTAGCAATTTCTGCACGTAATACAAAAGTATACAAAATTTCCAAACTTTGCAAGGCTATATTTTCCGCATTTTACAACATTTCGCAACCAAACTTTGCAATTTTACTAATGTTAGTATGCTCCTCCCAGGAATGCACATTTTTTGCCAAGATAAAAAATTAGTCTATAATGGGAATTGTCTATTACGATAATTTACTGGAATTTTTTCTATATCATTGTGATAATTTAGACGACAATTAGGAATAAAATTGCTGCAATTGAAAATGATCCGAATTTGGACGATTCTGAGAAAGCGAGAAGGAGACAGGTAGGTTAAACAGTAACAATAAGAAGTAATAAGATATAAAGATCTAGCAAATACAGTGTTCCTGCATTGCCATTATGGTATTAATTTGAACACTTTAAATATAAATATAGTTGAAATAATGGCTTAATTTGAACACGTTATGTCCTGGAGCATTTTTTATACTTCTCCAGTCTAAAATATTATCTTCTACGTATGGCCAACCTATTGATCCACGTGATTTTACCCATCAGTCCACGAATTGCCATTATTGTATTAATTTGAACACTTTAAGTACTATTTAAAGCACGCGTAGGAGTGTTTTATCACATATAAAACACGACGCGTAGCGGAGTGTTTTATATGTGATAAAACACGACTACAAGTGCTTTAAATGGCTTCAAAAACGACTCATCTTATACGAGTTCATTGGTGAAGTAATTTTTAAAATAAACTTTGTCTAAACCGAGAAAATCAAAGCTAAAGTTTATGTAAATTAACATGATTTTTTATCACATATAAAACCACGACACGCTTATGATTTTTCTTTGTGTTTTCTCCTGAATTATTAATGAGTTTTTGAAATAATGGCTTAATTTGAACATGCTATGCCCTGGAGCATTTTTTTATACTTCTAAAGACACAGCAACACATTCTTCCCGAACTGTTTTAATAACCAGAAGAGTCTGTGTTAGTACGATTGGAAATTGACCAGCTGATTCATAGTTAGACCAACAGAAGATCCAGTTTACTTTACTGTTTAATAAACGAGCAGGAGTGTTTTTTGAATTGGCTTTAGACCTAATAAAACACGACCTGCGAGTTTATTAAACGGCTTCAGACACGACTACAAATTCAATAGATATACTGCCTTATTAGCATTCTTTATATAAAGAATACTAATGAGGACACGACTACAATAGATACTGCCTTATGGTAAATACTGCCTCAGGTTTAAAGCCACTGCACGTGACATTTTATGGTTGACATGATTTGTCAATAAGCTTATGAATTATTAATGAGTGTTTGAAATAAAGTTCGTGTTTCTTCCTGTGATAACACTGAATCAGTATTATTTAATTATTATTTAATTTCCTCACATCGGACACTTGTATGAAAAGAGTCAGTCAACGCTCTACCGAAAGTCGTGGATTTTCTCCGGGTACTCCGATTTCCTCCCACAGGGAATGTTGACAGGGTGGGTTGGGATTAGCCCCCTAACTGACCCTTCCACCGTATAGCTGTGCTCCGTGATCAGACATGAGTTATAAGGTGGCTGCCTCCAGAGGCGCCCTTAGAAAGCCTTCAACTGAATCAGGTTGAGCTGTGTCCTTCGCAATTTAGCTTAGCTCTCAGCTGCAAGTAAGAATGATTAGGGAGAATATTAGTTAGAGCTATCCAGTACAAGTAAAGTTAGTATCGTTTATAACGAATTGATCTCGTCATTGGCATGTTTGTTTAGTCACTATTGTCAATGCGTTGTCCACTCTCTTCGTCATCCTCGGCTGGTTCTGTTCCTTCAACGCCAGTAACCTCCGTTTCTGTGAGCGCCATTCCCTTTTACCCGGCCGCAGACACTGTGGAATCTGTAGTGGAGAAGGCTTTAGATGAACTGCATTTTGATGACTTTGATGTCTCAGATCTAGAGAAAGAACTTAACGGTAGCACGTCACTGCCAGGTATTGTTGTTGTTTGTTGGTTGCTGTTGTTGTTGTTGTTGTTGTTGTTGTTGTTGTTGTTGTTGTTGTTGTTGTTGTTGTTGTTGTTGTTGTTGTTGTTGTTGTTGTTGTTGTTGTTGTTGTTGTTGTTGTTGTTGTTGTTGTTGTTGTTGCTGTTGCTGCTGCTGCTGCTGTTGCTGTTGCTGTTGCTGTTGCTGTTGCTGTTGCTGTTGCTTGTTGTTGCTGCTGTTGCTTGTTGTTGCTGCTGTTGCTTGTTGTTGTTGCTGTTGCTTGTTGTTGTTTGTTGTTGTTTGTTGTTGATAATATTCAATTCGATTCCATATTCAATTGTTAGGTGCAGATGTATTCACGAGTGCGTACCAAGGTTTATCAATCAATCCCGTGGGGTGTACCCCTCCGTTGTCAATACCCGGAGCGATGTCAGAGCCCTCACCACAACAGTCCTTCACCCCTCAATCACCATGTTCGCCCAGGGATCAATTTTCACCTTTCTCATCCAAGATGGTAAGTGGCCGCTATTATAAGGGACCGCTCATTATTTATAGGGGGGGGGGCATGGACGGATTTTCTGCGGGGTGGGTGCAGGAGGGTGTGCGCCCCCCAAGGATATTTCCCCCCCCAAAAAAAAAAGACTTTACCAGTCCAAAAAGACCGTTAGAGAGGCAGTTTTGATTGAACTGATAGAGCTATCCAGTATAAGTATACTTGTTTAGCTAAGGGTCCCTCACTCCCTCCTGTAATACAGTTGATTTCATGAAACTTTGGCCGCGCCAGTTGCGAGGTTGGTTGGGATGTTTGGGAACTATAAACAAAATCGTTTGCAATTTGCGAACTTGCTTGCGAACTTTGTTCGGAATTTCATAACGAATTTCGATAATTTGATGCGAAACTTCCGAATTTGATTGGCCAGTTTCCAATCAACTTGATGATCTCGTGTTTATAGTTCCCAAATTCCCAACCAACCTCGCAGCTGGCGTGGCCAAAGTTTCGTGAAATCAACTGTAACACTGGAATAAAAAATGATGGATCTCACTGAACTTCTATGGAGAAATGAATAGTTCAGAACTATAATAGAACTATTAAGTATCAATAAAATAGGAGAGCACCATATTACATTAACCATATTTTGATGCATCGAATGCATCCCTAAAATAAACTTAGTTTAGTTTAGGCATTAGTTCAGGCTGTCCTATGGTGCATGGTTAAGATTTAGTTACTGACAAGAGAGTTTTGTGTGAAAAGCTGCTCTGAAGAACCTTGTTCATACCATGTTTCAGGGTAGCAATCCGTACCGAAACAGTCCAACCATGAGAAGCTATCCCAGTGGACTGCTCAGCGACCCCTTTGGCCCTCCCATTCCCTCACCAAAACAACAACCCTCTCCCCAACTCACCTCCCCCCTCGCCTTATCTGGTAGTCAAGCAGACATCGATAAGCTATCCCAAGAACTCTCGGCCGCGCATGTCAAACTAGCGTCCTGGGAACAAGCCTGGACGAAAGCGAGGCAGGCGTGCGAGGCGTGGAAGAAGGAAGCTGACCAGGCTGAGGGCCGCGCGAGAAAAGCTGAGCAGGAAAGACTGGAACTATCTCTTAAACTAGAACAGGTAAAGTAGACCTATGTCATTGAAAGGTATATCAGGGTTCGTAGCGGTCTTTGAAATCCTTGAAAGTGCAGGTCTTTAACTTTTAAGGTCTTTGAAAAGTCTTTGAATTGTGTGAAAACGCGAAGAAAGTCTTTAAAAGTCTTTAGATTCTTTAGTAAGTGTTTGATTATACGATTTCCTAGCTAATAAAATAGGTTGATTGAAGAGCAAGGTTTTCGCAATATCGACGAAAAGGCGCATTTTAGGATGTGATTTGACGCGACTAAGTACCGGGTAACAATGGCGCTTCCACTCGCAATTTTTCGACAGCAGATTGCTCTGAAAGGTCTTTGAAAAGTCTTTGAAAATAGGCAGAAAAAAATCTTTGAATTTTTTGCTCTTGGAGACTACGAACCCTGTATATATCTACACACATAAAAACGCACAAGTTGTAACAAACCTGCAGCAGACTTGTGGCAATGCTGTTCCAACAACTTGTCAACAGGATGCGTTCGCAGTGCTTGTTGCCAGCTTGTTGACAAGTTGTCAACGGCTTGTTGACAATTTGCTATAAGGTTCTTGAGCTCAGCAGACTTGTTACAAGTTGTTCCAACAACTTGTTATCGTCCTGCAATTCAACAACTTGTTAACAAGTTGCGAGTGACAACCTTGTAGCAACTTTATAAAATAACAGCATTGTTACAACTTGTTGAGAAGCTTGCTACAAGCCTGATGGGAACACATCTTGTTGACAAGTTGTGAGACTTGCACGTTTGTAGGTGAAAGACACTTGCTCTGCGCCACCAGAGCCCCATTGTAATATGAGCTCCCATAAATATGTGGTCATGTTTATAGGAACACCTCTTATTAATAGGAATCGTTTAAATAAGTAGGTTGGTATTTGACTTTATTTCAAGATGGCTATATACACTTGGCCGTTGTTATTGACACCATTGATAATCTAGTGGCCCTCAAAGAGGTTGCTATTGATTGGCTTCTATATTGATTGACTTCTGTTATTATAAGAGGTATTATTGATAAGTGGTTTTATAATAGACCTTTCTTAGCGACACTTTGCAATGCAATGTTTTTTATGAAATTTATTGGCTCACCAACGACTTGCAATTGTCCTGTGGGAGATCGCATGCCGGTCATAAGACAGGTCTATTGATATTGATATTAGTTTGTAAAGAATTGCTATTAACAGGCCCGTAACTAGGATTTTAGATTTACCGAGTCAAGGCGGGGCATGCTCCTCCAGAAAATATTTGATTTTCTAAGGCTTAGAATTTAGAAACGCTATTTCCTGCATTCTGGGAGGAATTTTAACAAAAAATAAGTAATGATAAACACTGACACAATGACGATAATTTCATAGTTTTCCTGCATTCTGAGAGCAGTTTTCAAAGAAACAATCAATCGCATAAACAGTGACACAATGACTATATAATTTCATAGTGTGTCTCACAATTGTACTGCAAGTATCCAATCATAAGAATTCAAGTACTCTTGGTCCAACATGATCAGGTGCATAATAAAAATGTATTTGTGGTAATATTTGGGACGCTAATTCGTACCTTCATCAGAAATTGAATAAATTTTATTCAGAATCTGTTTTCTCTAAACTTGAAGTCTTCTGGTTTTGAATTTTTTCACAAAAAATCTTACCAAGTCAACTGACTCGGTTGACTCATAGCTAGTTACGGGCCTGATTGACAAGCAATCTATTAATAATCAACTAAAACTTTCTGGTAAGAATTTCCTATCACAAGAACCTTTAACAGGAATTTCAATTAATAAATTGTATTATATTGTTGTTCGATTTTATTGCAATTCAAAATCATTTGTGGCCAGACTAAAAAAAAACATCATTCCATAGCAATAGTCTCGAGAGCGAATGGAATGTAGTCTTTGTCTTGCAAGTACTATCATTCTCTATGCCCTCAACTATTTGTGGCTAACTGCAAAGTCTGCATACTGGCGGATTTCATGTTTTAAAGGGTGAGAGCGATGAAATGGCCAATGGGGGTGATTCCAGCTATAGACTAAATTTTGATCTAGGCATGAGGGACGAAATCCAACACCACAGCTAGAAAGAGCATCGTAGAATGAGTAAACTTGCTAAGATTGGTTGCGAAATGTTGTAAAATGAAGAAAATATAGCCCTGTGAAGTTCGCAAATTTTGTATATATTTGTATTACGCACGGTAAAAATAACCACTTTCGGCTCAAAAATGGTTATTTTTCCCGCGCGTTATGCAAATATATACAAAATTTGCGAACTTCACAGGGCTATATTTTCCTTATTTTACAACAATTCGCAACCAAACTTTGCAATTTTACTCATTTTAAGATGCTCTTTCCAGCTATGGTAATGGATTTCGTTCTTCTTGTCTAGATCAAAATTTCGTCTATAGCTGGAATCATCTATTCAGTCTGTTTGGAGAAAAAGAACTCGTTAAACTGTGAAATAAGTCATTTTACAATATTTAGCTGACCTTCGACTTTGTGCAGTGTGTTTTCGTATTCAAATAGCACTTTTCCTACCTCCTGAACAAGTGTCTTAGGGGTGCTTTACTTTGCTTATGTAATGGAAGGCGGGGTGAGGCAGCACTTTCCTTGCGATAGTAATTTCTAGTTTTACAACTTTTCTTTATCTCTTGTCATTCTCAAGATGTTTTAGTTTTTTTCGTCTCCTGTCTTCCGAAACGTCGACGTTTTACTTTCAGGTAGTTCAGTGTCCCTCGCAATCCTCAGTTTCCAAATGAAGTAAATCTATGACGTCACAAGCTGGTAAACTTTTTTCTAACATGGCAGTCAGCCAAAGTCATAAGGCTCACTGTTCAGAATAGATCAGATCGTACAGATCTATATCGATGATTCAATTGACTAATCTTGCATACAAAAACATGAACTTTTTAAGAGTCCTGTGGACTGTCGAAAAGTTGACCCAGCTTGTGAGGTCATCTCATTAACATATCAAGCGAACTGAAATAGCGTTTAACCAAAGAAAGATATAAAAATCTTGTAAAATGCCTTATTCTACCGGGTGTCCCCCCAAAACTGGACACTGTTTGATTTCATGTAACGTAAAAGCTATAAAAGCTATCGCAATGAAATAACGATCATTGCGTTCAGAAAGGACTAACGTAGATTTTAATATATAGCACTTGAATTTACATGCAATATTGACTGCGCTATTGATGTTTGAACGTTGAACTACTGTTTTTGAAAATGTCAAAAATTAGCATAAAACAACCTTATAATTACCGATGTAGTTATACTTGTTACATAATAAATATTTTTATTTTGGTTGTATCTCCCTCAATATTGCATGTAAATTCAAGTGTTATATATCAAAATCTAAGTTGGTCCTTTCTAAATGCAATGATCTTTATTTCATTGCGATACCTTTTGTAGTGTTTACGTTGCATGAAATCAAATAGTGTCCGCGTTTTTTTGGGACACCCGGTAGGAGTTGTTTCAATCTAAACGTCCTTAATTTTTGCTGCTAATACCCTTTAACGTACTCGACGTTATTTGTGTATATAATTCATTGCATTATCTTCTCCTTCAGACTCCACAAATTGGGACAGAAGACGGCGATGGCGGTGCAATTGGTGAACGTTCTTATCTTCAAATTTTAAATAAATCTAGTGATATTGAAAAAGAACCTCTTACCGTCTTAAAACAGATACAACAACATTTAAGAATGGATAGCGAGAGATTAGATAGGGTAAGTAGGGTGTTGTGTGTACAATAGACGTATTTGAATAATGCCATGCCCGTTGTCACCCCAAATCATCCACATGTATAATTTATTAACTTTACAACCTGAACTAACTATTCTGAACCAACTAACTATTTGTTGACTATGTTTATTTATTAACTGAACAACATGAACAAATACTACCGGGTGTCCCCCAAAAAACTGGACTCTGTTTGATTTCATGTAACGTAAAAGCTATAAAAGGGCTATCGCAATGAAATACAGATCATTGCATTCAGAAAGGACTAACTTAGATTTTGATATATAACACTTGAACTTACCTGCAATATTGAGCGAGATACAACTGTTTCAATTTGAATGCGTTTTAGGAGTTGGTGAAAACCCAGTAAAAATTGGCTAATTACAAGGTTATTTTATAGTCAATATTGCATGTAAATTCAAGTGCTATATATATCAAAATCTAAGTTAGTCCTTTGACTCCTTTCTGAATGCAATGATCGTTATTGCGATAAATTTTATATCTTTTACGTTACATGAAATCAAACAGTGTCCAGTTTTTTATGTAAAAAAGTGAATAAATTGATTTTATTTTGATTTGATTGTAAGACACCCGCCCAGAGACTAGAGTGTTCCACATTGAAGTTTCCTCACTGACCTCACATATGGTAAACTTTTCTCACATGTATATCTGCAGGCATACAATAATTCGAAGTAAATTCTCTATTTCTTCTAGGTAATATATTGTCGTGAATGGTTGCATTGTGTTGTTTGCAAGGTGGAAAGAAGATGTATGGTAACGTGTCCTTGTAATCATTGTATTGTGTGTGAGAACTGTTCCATCACTCTTATCGACTGTCCGCAATGCCATGCGCAAATATCACAAAAAATCCGAATCGATTTAGGTTTATAAAAAGTCCTATGGGGGCCTGTTCTTACCAGCATGGCAATTGGGCGTGGCTACAGAAATACTGGTTAAACCGGTTTCGTAACTTGTTAATGTGAACTTTTAGTAAAGATTGCCAATTGTCCAGGACTCGATCAAACTTCATCCAGTCCTAGGATTTGATCAAATATATTACTACCCTGATTTATCATTTGATTCCTCAATGAGCATGAGGAAATCGATGCATCACATATAATTGCCTGCCAGGCTGGTGAAAGCAGGCCCTAATATAAATTAATTTATTTGAAAAAAAGGTACGTAGTTGTTTGTTAGCACTTTAAAAAGATAGCAGTCCATTTTATTTGGGCGTATTAATATTCCCACATATAATTAGTGTCTAATTTTAATTCTATATTAAGGTGATATAGTTCGTTGTTGTTAATTGTGCCCTGCGCCGTATGTTGGGTGGCAAATTATATTTTACCGGGCCGATTTGAGCAGAGTTGAGATGTTGCTTAGCAACATCAACCGGTGTTGTCTGGCAACAGTGAGTTGCCTAGCAACGCAAGTTGTCAAGAATTGCTTAGCATCAAGAGTTGCCTAGCAACCGATAGTTGCTTAGCAGCAGAGAGAGACAGTGTCAAATCTGCCCGCTAAAATACTGCCCCAAAAGGTTGTTTCCACACTATGGGCAAATAGAGAGTTTTTAGATCTTTTCCAAGGCTTAGTACGAGTTTTCTAATTTCCATCATAGAATAACGGGTAAAAACGGACGAAAATTGTTTACTATTCAGCATCAATTTAGATATTTGGTAAAGAAACTGGTCTACTTTCCTTAGTCAGGTTTTCCCGACCGATTCCCGCATGAAGTTATAATTTAAAGTTTGACCAGATATTTTTGTATTCTCGTACTAGACCTTACATTGGATCTAAGCTTTCTTATCGTTAAATTAGTTAGGGTGTTGTTAAAAGTAGAAACTATTTAACTTGTTTTCTAAATATCTCTGGTGATAATTTTGCTTTATAAAATTTTAAATGTCTTAACGTCGCTAAGCTGTTTCAGTGAAAGAACGTGTTGTGCGAAAGACTTGTTCGAGGTAAGACTATTGAATATAAGGTTTTCAGATTTGATGTACTAAGGTGGCTCTATGCAGATTTTAGTTGATATATAACCTAGGTCTAGCAAAAAAATCCTGTGGTTCGGTTTCATGTTCTGAAAAAACCCGGAATAGATTGGTCAGAAAACAAGATATGAAGATTGTTTTACTTCACATTGGTCAGTAATGGCCATGGGTGTCATGATCAGTTGGCATTGTCACAACACATAAGTACTTCAGGAAGCGATAACCTGTGGCAATGGTCGCCATTTTTGGCGTCATGTTGTATCATAAAGCGAGCAACAAAAAGTAGGGTCGGTATAGGTAAGCAACCAACCCAACCACATCCAAAAAACATGATGGTTGACGATCGAGAAACCAGAACCACAGCATATTTTTGTTAGGCCCTATTAATGTAAACTGGATTTAGTTTCTGTTGTGTCTCAAGGAAGGAAGACGATTTCGTCTCGGTCATACGCCCGTATTCTAAAAGCTCACTCACACTCACACTCAATGAGTGTAGGTTCAATCTGAGCTTCTCTTGAGTGTCAATGCTGTTTTTGAATAGCTGGAGGGTGAGCAGTCACATAGTAAGGTACGACACTAGCCCTCCTGCTATTCAAAAACAGCAATGACACTCGAGAGAAGCTCAAATTGAACTTCCACTCATTGAGTGTGAGTGTGAGTGAGCTTTTAGAATACGGGCGATAGTTTTGTTTCAAGTCGTTGTTTACATAAAAACACTTTTAATTGCTCTGGGTTGCATTTTCGAAAGAAACAAAAAAAAAGATTTTCGACTCTGTTTCGTGTAAACATGTTGTATGCAGTTTCAATTTTCGTCCATAGTTCGCCACTGTAACTCGAAAACGTCAGATTCACAAATCGTACAGAAAGAATAAATATCTGTTGTTTCTATGGATCCAGAGCCACCTTAATATCATCATGAATTTGATTTCTAAGTTGTGTGTATAAGGCAGACTGTATAGGAAAATGCTCGTGAAGAACAATAGGTTAACTGCTTGCTTCAATAATATATATATACATTTTATAGTGAATATTTCATAAAGTAGGTTATTTCTAAATTTTGATCCTATATAGATATATAGAATGAGGAGTATGAATTGGTACAATCTTTTGTTTTCTATCAAGGGAAACTATGAAATTTACTCCAAAATTTCTGAAATGTTTCTGACGAATGTTTCCTGGTTTGGCCACCTTTAACAGGAAATATGGCTTTGAAAAACCAACGTCCCCTGTTTTGCCCACCTCTGGGAAATTTGGCTATATGGTCATTATTCTTCTAACCTTCTCAAGAGACAAAAAAAAACAAGGTTTCTTGGTTTGACCTCGAACAAAAACCTTTTCGAATTTGCCCAGGGCATAACGTTTCGAAACGCACTTGAAAAAGTTAGGTTTCCTTTGTTGAAGCTAAAATTGTGTAAGACAGATTACCAAGTTTCAACACAGCTTTAGTTCGAAAAAAAACTTTTTTATACTCCTCATTCTGCTTAATTAAATATGACAAAACGTTTAACAAAAATATTACTAGCTCTTAATAATCTCAATATACTGCATGTTGTAATGTTAAATACTATATAATTCCTTTTGTTGAAAGCATCATGTTTTCATAGCTACCATTTTACAGGGCAATTTCATGATATATAAACAACCCAAAGTTCTAGAATACAATAAAAGTAATTTTTCAAAACTAACCGTGAAGCTAACTTTAACGTTTCATTTTTGCAATTTTCAAATTTCAGCTTTGCAATTTTCAAATTGCATGTACAAATTTTTGACAATATACATTGGGACAATTTAGTTTTTACATGCACTCAGATGTACCATTTCTTGAAACATTTACTCCCCCCCCCCATTTCAATGTTGGCGTCTTGCAACCCAAGACATCAGTTTTTTGTGGGCCCAACATTAAACTGAGGTAATGGGGGCGCTATGCCCTTAAAATTGTGTGAAACTACAGCATATGTCCCGTAGTTTTTGCAAGGATTGTATATAGTATCATTGCAAATTGTCGCTACACATGAAAAAGGCCTTGGGTTTGGTGAACATTTAGGACCATACTGTACATCTACCATACTTGACTCACTTTCCGCACCAGTGAGTAATCAGACCCGGCCAGGGACTTTCAGTTATACTGGTATTCAGACCAGTATACTTTTGGTATGCAGTATTTTATTGTTAAAATAGTACTTGAAGTATGGGTATAAAGTATCCTGTATTTACTCAAGATCAGTATAGCCTTGACGTTAGGCATGCTGGTATATTGTACCAGTATTAGTGAGTATATGATATTCTGGTAACCCCCTGGCTAGGTCTGATTAATGGTCGCATACACTGATCGATTCTGAATTTGGGTTGTTCGTATATCATGAAAATTGTCCATTTTTAGCCGCTTTGCACTTTGCGTGCAACAGTTGACGTGTTACTGTCGGGTTCTTAAATATCTCAAGGATTTTGGAGTCGTTTTGTAGATAGTTATTTATTGTAAAATGCATTGTTTATTGTTTACAAGTAAACAATTGCTTTGTAGTGTCTAATTATTATTAGAGAGATTTATTGCATTGAACAATGTTCTAGGTTGTATCAATTTAAAATATATTTCTTTAAAAAGGAAAAGTAGATGCTTGTATGGGTCCACAGTGATTGTATTTTATTTGCTAATTGCTAACCAGGTGATCTTGATACGCGGAAAAGTACTGGCACTAGTTGTCAAATAGAAATCCATTTTATGATTAAAACAACTGAATATCTCCTGTAATATACTTTATTTCGATTCCAAATTTTTGTCAGAGCTATAGTTCTCATAACCAAACATAATTACAAAATTTCAACTAGTTTCATAAAGAATAACGAAAGATATAATTGACTGAATACATCAAAATGGATTTCTATTCGGACAACCCTTTCTGAGCGCTGATTGGCTAAAATACGACCTCCTAGTCTATAAACTGTGATATAACCTGGCTAGCCAGGATAAATCGCGTCATTAAATTTTTTCCTCACCATAAAAGAACGTTTGAATGAACTTTATACTATTATTATAAGTAAACGCATGCTTTGAGGGAAATTAGTGATTAAATGTCCCCGCAAACCGAGGGAGGTTTAGTAAAAGTCCCCGAGGGACTTTTACTAAACCTCCCGAGGTTTGTGGGGACATTTAATCACTAATTTCCCTCAAAGCATGCGTTTAGTTGGTAAATACATGGTAGCCGAGGGAATGGCGCGTGGTGTGTTGCCTGTTTTGAATGCTGTTTGATTGTCTTATGATTGTTTTCAACTAAATATCCTCGTTACGTGGGGAAATTTAGAAGACAAAAGCGTATGCATGGGTAATGAGGGAAATACGTGATTAAACGTCCCTGTTGAAACAGAAGAAACCGAGGCTACCATGTGTTTACTGGAATAATCTACTAAAAGCCCCTATTGTAAAATATACCCAATATGAACACGTTTTGTAATTGGTTTTTTGAACAGAAATACGAATTCTATAGTTTATTGGCTTTTGCTGTCAAAATCAACCAATCGCAATGTCTGTTCATATAGGTAGTCTGATAAGTAACAGTGGACCATTAATTGCGATTGCTTTTCAGGTGGAAATCGTAATCGTTACAACGTTATACTGGGTAGAAGGATAGCTTTACCAGCCTTTTCACTGCTCTATAGAGTAGAGGTCAAGTATTAAGGACCACCGTAATTTATCACGACATGGTATTTATGCTAATTTGTGCACGGTCACGGATTGAGCTCATTGTATTTTCGCGTAATGAACTAATCGTCCAATACGGATAGCTGAGATGAAACGTGCAACCACGATGAATATTATTTTAATGAAGTTGAGACAAAGGATTTGTGCACGATGAGGTACAGTTCAACATCGAACAAAGGTCTAAAGGTCTTCTATTTTTATGGCTTTGAAGTTTGCCGGACATCCTACCAGGGACCATCTCTTTTTGGTCCAGTGTTACTTACAGATAGAAATTTCAACTAAGCTCGCTTTCTTTATGCCGGTTACCTCTATCAGTTCTAAATTAATTTATTCTAAACAGTTTTGAGCGACCGTCAGTTGAGGAGTTCAGGATCATCTGATCTTAACAACGGTACCTCTCCGACAGAGCTACTCCCCCCGGATAATGCACAGTTAGCCAATCACATTAAAGAACCGTCGGAGAAAAATTTCGGCAAGAAACAACATGGCGAAATACTGTAATTTGCGAACGACAGTTTCATTTAGATTTTAAAAGTTTTTGAGCTAGAAAAGAGGCACCAGAAAGGTATGAAAAGTTTAAAATAGCCAGACTTAATTTTAGTTATGTGAAGAATATGTTCAGTACGCTAGAGTGTCATTCAACGTACAAACGAGTATAGTTTTTGTGTGATTTAATTTTTAATGGCATTTTGTTTTCTGTTTCAGATTCTTCTTTATGGCGTTCAGATCATGCAAACGTTTGCAAACAGCTATAAGTAAGTGAGGTAATTAAATTGCTTTTCCAATGTATTATTAAAACTTGAATCAGTTGTATGTAAAATTTTGAAAATTAAATACTGTAAGTAATAAATGTACAAATACAATTTAAGTCGATCCTTGCCTTCGCCGGGACAACACGGGAGCACCCATAATTCATAAAATATGTCAGCACAGCTTTCCAGACAGTCTTTCCATTCTAAACTGTAAAAATGGTATATTGTTTCAGCAAATTCTAGTGAAATGTGTGTGAAAAACTAAATGTTCAAAACATAATATCAGGGATGGATTTACTGGGGGGGTGCACCCCCCTAGCCCTGGCCAGGGGGGAGGGATGGATTTACTGGGGGTGGGGGTGCACCCCCCCCCCCTAGCCCTGGCCAGGGGGGGGTGCTATTTTTCATGATAAGGCAATAGAGATACAGTAATTTGAGTCATAACATGGTGATAAACAAACTGTGAACAACAATTACAATTCAAATACAGTAGTCAAGCAAGACTTTGCAGTAGTGAACCAAGTTGATGAGCGGACGGCACACATGACCGACACAACTCGGCACCAGAGCTGGCAGAGCACCCCCCTACCAGATCATGCTGGATCCATCCCTGCATAATATGCTGTCTGTCAAACAACATGAAATTTTTTATATAGTGTAATGTGAGCATGAAAATTTCAATTTCTGGGGTCTATTTTTGATAAATATTTGTTGTTTGTGGTGTCCATGCTTGTCAAGGAAAATTTTTCAAGAAACATTTGGTAAGGCGTAAAAAAAATATCTGTGGTTCCGGTTCCCGACCGACCCATTTTTTTCTGCCAACCCTATTATTTTTTCAACTCGATTGACCGTGCAACCCTATTTTCTCCAGGTGGTTGGGGGCTGCTCATACAGCGTGCCAAAATGGTGTCTGTTGAACCAAATTATTGAACCAAATTGCCTAAATTCGTCCATAGGAAATACGCATCTCTAGTTAATATTGATGTTGCAAATCGCCCAGCAAAAAACCGCCAAAACCATGAAAAAAAATATTAAAAAAAATTTCCGACCTACCGACCCTTATTTTTTCATGGTATGAAACCGGAACCACAGGGTTTTTTTTTCGCCTAAGGGTAAATTCTGACAGGTGACATTCTGATATAATACTGAAGTGACATTTGACACAAACTCTGTAAAATGTGATAGGGATAAAAAGGTCGAAAACAATGGAATGCTAAATATGACATGGCAACATTTTTAAGCAGCAGTACGTATGAAATTTAGTAGTAAATATATAGAAAGTATCAAAATTGCATGCCTGGTATCTTGGTTGGATGATACAAACTTTCCACACTGGTCAACATTCACATCAGCATTTGCTGATTTCCAACCTCAATGGATGATTCCAGCACTAGCTATTGACTAAAATTTTTATCCAGACAAGAAGGACAAAATCTATCATTATAGCTTAAAAGCATTAATATAGCATTACGCGAGGAAAAATGCATTTTTTGAAAGTGGTATATATTTTGTACGTTGCAACATTTTGCAACCAAAATTTGCAATTTTAATTTTAGGATGTTTTTTTATTTGTAATGATAGATTTTGTCTTCCTTGTCTAGATAAGAAATGGACCTATTCCCTAATGAACAAAATTTTGATCTAGACAAGAGAACAAAAATTTCATCACAGCTTGAAAGAGCATCACAAAATTAGTAATATTCCGAAGTTTCGTTGCGAAATGTTGTAAAATGCGGATAATATAGCCCTGTGAAGTTTTCCGTTTTTCAGTCATTTTGTATTATGCACTGGAAATTGATACCACTTTCTGAAAAGTCTAGATCAAAATTTTGTTCATTAGGGAATAGGTCCATTAGTTGATATCTGGAATCATCCATTGCAAGGCCTGCACCCCATATTTGCATTCCAGCTTATTAGGTTAATTTTGTTTCAGTATGCATAAGAAACTTGTCAAGCAAGCCCCCTGACCCGCCACCTCCTGAGCTGTGTTGCATGAGTGGCTGTGCCAACTGTGTGTGGATTGAATACGCCAAAGAACTCAAGGAGTTTTCCGACAATGGCGAATCAAACCATTTTATTGATGAAGCTTTGAAGAAAATTGAGGACCCCAGTTTCAGAACTTTTATCAAAATGGAGATAGATGGAATTCTATCAAAGCCAAAGAAATAATAATCACTATTTGGATGATCATTGTAAATTATCTAATTTCATATTCTCTGGTAAGTCTTTACATTAATTTTAAATAATAACATATAACTATCTAATTCAATTATCAAATACTATTAATGACTAACTATGACTAAAAGTTTCTTAAGCGCAGTCATTAGAAAAATGATGGGGAGTAGAAAAGAAAAATACCTTTCAAAGCAAAAATTCCAGCACAAGCAGACAGCCAAAAAAAATTTGTGCAAGTTGAAAATTCTCTTCCCTGCCCCTCCCCCCCTCCATCATTTTTCTAATGGTCCACCCCTTAGAAACCACCTACGTTTTTTACACATGTTCAGGGTACATGACTATCTTGGGGAGGGCTGTAGATTGTAGACATGCAATTAAATACATACAGTCATTGTCTATGGCAGTTTATCAGTGAATCAAAAAACCGATGCATCATAAAACCACTCATTTAGATGATATGCAAGATTCATTGTCAGTCTGTTACTCTGTTGTACATGACAAAAACCTTGGCCCTTGTTGCTTTGGCAACTATTAGTTTTATATATTATTTAAACTGACAAAGCCTGTCCACTTTGGAATTCTTTGGACAACTTTTTTTTGTCAAGTAGGGCAGAGTGTATGAGTTCAATATGAAAATTATTTGCTATTGGTCACTTGAAATACTATTCTACTGGTGCTGTTCAACGACACAGCTCTGTTTGTCCTCAGCTAAACATGTTTGTCCTCCTGCAATCGGCTATTTACCATCATCCTATAGTAACCTGCCAGCCAGATTGTCCGAAACACATCGCAAAGTACAACTTCTCAACTTCATTTTGTATAGGCCAATCTAACGTCACTTCTTTGTTATCGACACTCACAGACACTCGTAATTTCTTCCCCGACACCTTGTGTGCCTCAAACGAAACTTGAGTCCCTCGTTTGAACGGAGGCAACCTTGTTGTCATGTTAGTTCCGTTCACATGTATTATCCCTTTTGAGTTCACCCCGACACATTCAGGACCTTGTAAAACCTGTTTGTTATCGATAACACAATATTGAGTGATCATGCCAATGACGTCACTTGCTGAAGGCTCGCCCATTTCTTCAACGGTAAATGTAATGGTATTTCCAATGATGTAGCTCATGGAACGTGATCGTAGAACCCTGGAGCTTTCGGGAAATACTTTTGTGGCAGTACGTCTATCATTGCTTAGCTGGTATATGGAAATCCTTTTCTCATTCTTGCAGTCTTTCTTTGACCATTCTGTAAGAAGTTATTTGGATTGGTTAGTGGTCATTTAGTGAAACTCAAGCAGAGCTTCATTGCAGGCCGCAGCTTCGATCCTTGACAGATGGCTTATTCTTGGGTTTCATTTGATGTCACATGGGTGTCAAGGGTAAAGGACGGCTTTTATAATATTTGTTTACGTTGTTTTATATTGGCTTTTTTAATAGTCCAGGGCTTGAAATTTAAGCGCTATTCGTCATGATTCATCACTCCGCAAGTACCCTAAAAAGAAGTAGTCACCCCCCTGGAAATATCCAAAATGGTGTTGTGTGGGAAAAAGCCATGGATATTTCCAGGGGTGACTGCTTATTCTTAGGGTACTTGCTGAGTGACGAATCATGACAAATAGCGCTTACGCAATTCTGTGGCACTATCCAGTGAGATCTGTATAACTGGTAAAATGAGTTTTCAATTGATATGAATTTGATTATATAATGAATCTAAGATATGTTTACAAAGGATTCATATACTATACTGTAGAACAGAAAAATACACTATATGTGGACGGCAGAAACTTGCTTAGTATCCCAATGGATACCGACCTTGTGATGTCCAGTAACCAAACTTAAAATCTGGTATCCCTTGGATATTGGGATACTGTAAATTTCAAGCCATGAATAGTTGGATGACTTATTTACATAAGATGCATAGACAGACCTCATTTCAATGATTGACCCCCACTTGAGTCAAATTATGCTAGAATATCACGTGACTGAAACCCAAGAATAGTTGCATTTTTCGCAGCTGCTCCTGGTTAGGTATAAATAAATGTATAAAATTTTCACTTGAAATTTCCATCTACAGAACCCTTCATATATTACAACCCCTTCAATACGATGTTGAACATTATGTCCAAATTAGGCTACTAGCACCAAAACTTTTGTAGGCAAGTCCATGTCCCTCAAAATTGGAAAGACCTGTCTTTTAGTGACTTCATCTGACTTATGAAACCTAGGCAAGGATGGATCCAGCATGATCTGGGGGGGGGGGGGTGCCGACGCTAGCTCTGGTGCCAAGTTGTGTAGGTTATGTGTGCCGCCCGCCCATCAACTTGCAGTTGCTTCACTACAGCAAAGTCTTGCTTGACTACTTTATTTGAATTGTAATTGTTGTTCACAGTTCACTTATCATCATGTTATTGCTCAAATTACTGTATCTCATTTTGTCTCTAATAATTTTTTGCTTAATTTAATTTAAATTAATTATCATGAAAAATAGCACCGGCCCTGCACCCCCCAGTAAATCCATCCCTGGACCTAGGTAAAACTTACCGTGTGGTTCAAGTGACGTCACACCATTCTTATAGGCACTCCATGGTCCCCATTTCACGTCCTTGTTCCCAGACCTTCCACAAACACGGAATGTGTATGTGACGTGTGGCTCAATGTCTGTCACTAGATACGACATTTGTTCTCCTTGATATATAGTACTGAAGACATCGTCGGAGCTGACTTTGTTATCTGCTTGACAGTATTGTAACATGTATTCCTGTGTTCCCACACTTCCTTCTGTGAACGATTCGCTATCAACTAAAGTCTAAATTTGAACACGATGGAAATGGATGAGAGATGCTTTATTAATTAACCAGCACTTGTGGTGTCATGGTCGCTACACTTGCCTTTCAAGCTGGGAGACCAGGGTACAACCCTTGGTTGGACCTCTACTCTCAAGGTCTTAAAATATTGAGGACAGGGTTTGAAATAATGTTCCCGAAGTTTCCGACCATGGTGATTGGCAGCCAAATTTTTTTGTTGAAAATATTGTTTTCCTGTCAATCATAAACAATTTCTTGCCGATCGTTGATCGGTGATCGGCTGCTATTTCAAGCCCTGCGAGGAGGAAGTGCTATCTTTATATTGACATCAGTAAGTGGTTAGGTTTTCGTGTCTAGACTTCTCGGATAAGGACATTAAAAACAAACAAGGTACCTTGGATCCCCTACTGCGGATTCAGGTAGACCCTTTAATACGAATAGTTGTCGCGTTAGTTTTAACAGTTGTACGATGACATTTCTAGGCAGATTTTCAGACGTTTCTAAGGCATGGCTTCAATGTTTATATTCAAAATTTAAACGTTGTAATTACAACGGTTAAATTTTGAAAATAAACATTGAAGCCACGCCTTAGAAACGCCTGAAAATCTGCCTATAAATGTTATCGTGCAACCGTTAAAACTTATGTGACAACTATTCACATTAAACGGTCTACCTGAATCTGCAGTATCAACTGGGTTATAGGCTGTTGGGAAATCTGCTGACCAATGAGTGTGAAGCTCAATAAACTCAAACTTATAATTCACTGCCAACACTAATATGCAAATGTCTGTTTGATGAGTAAAATCATCCGCATGGTTACTGTACCTCATCCCACTGTACTAAGATCCCACCAGGTTGCTCTACCAGTTCAACAATCTGTAGTGATCCCAACATTTGAACGTCACCAAGTCTTTGAAGGGCTTCGACGATATTGCTCACTTCTGAGTCTTCAACACTTACTGAGAGATTTTGAGCCACACATGGCATATCCGGATAACTGGAGAGAAGCGAGAGAGTACAAATTATATATTGTGTATGACATGTGTTGTCCATCCAGGGTGCGATAATTCACATACTTATGTAGCCGAGGTACACAAGTTTTATGATCTGGCACTTGTTTTTTTAACCAAACTTTCCGAGATATGCAAAACTGTATATCCAGTTTTGTTTTTATTGGGAGGAGGATGTCTTCATAATTACTGAGTCAAACTTCACCCATACCCACAAGGGGCGTTGGGGGTATGTTCCCCAGGAAAATTTTGGATCTCTAAAACAGCATTTCCTGCATTGTGGAGGCACTTGGATGTCTTAATGGATCACTGTTTAACACTCTGAAAACATTGGGGGGAGGGGGGGGGGGGGGGGGGGGTGTACAATCTACAGATTTTGAGAAAGGTGTTGTGATAATTGGCTGTTTTTCAAATGGCCATCCACATTCTCAGTTAAACCTTTACTGGCTAAAATATACCATACCTTTTCTGTAGTGGTTGTAATTTTTTCTTAATTTCTTTTTCATTTTTCATCACTAAGTCATCTTCTTGCTCTAATATACTATGTCCTGACATTTTAGTGAAAACATATTACAATTAAGTACATGGGTGATGTACTTTGATGAAAGGCTTGCCCAGTGGGAGTTAAATAATCATGAGCATATTGAAGTTTATTCCTGGTTGGGGGATGCATTCCACTTATTCCCAAAATGTGATAAGCAAGATACAAAGAGTTTATAAAACACATTGGTAGATAGTTTAGTTAACCCAGTGAAGGGCATGACTCTCCTCTTGACAAGTAGAATCGTCTGGCATGAGAGAGGGTGAAATAATAAATTAAGGTGCATTGCAGTTTAGTAATGGGTTAAAACTACCTTCTTGAATTGAGTTCTTCATGGTTGCAAGGTCTCCATCGAGCTGTTGTTTTAGACTTGTCAAAGGTTCTAAATCTTGTGTCTCAATTTCTTTGATAGTTGTTAACAGGAATACCATCCGTGTCTCAAGAGCTGCGATTACTTCCTTTTTGGCAGATTCGAAATGATTTTCAACAACCTTTGTCGCATTCATACTGCTCGTCTTCACGCTGTTGATTGCGCTGTTCACATTTTGGATTTGAGAGCTGTGGAATTATTACTGTACATGTAACAGGGTTATGAGTAAGGGCTGTTCATATGGGGCGAGCCAGCCTATAGGTACTGAGCTGGCCCAGGTTAAGGTGAGATCCCACCTTTGTATTATTTCCTACCAAATTTTTGCATTTATATGGGAACCAAGCTTGTCTGTTTAAGCGAGATCCTGCCCCGACTGACCCGAGGGCTGGGAATTTCCCATATAATATATATAATTTCACACCTAAGCACAGTGAGTGTTATTGCTCTGTTCACACAAATATATATTTATAAATAAGATTTTCTCAACAGATTTCAATCTTAAAAGAGGTCTCTGTGAATGATTCTGTGAGTTATAACTGTGAACGTTGCTTGCAAAAGTGTGAATTTTACGTTCATGAGAAAATATATTTATTTTATGCTATTTATAAGAGTGAGACCAGTGGTTTGTTTTGGAGAGCCAGCCTGCCTCAAAAGTCTCGTGTAAACACAGGATGAAATTAGCTCGGCAAAGCGTGCTAGCTCGGGTACCCGGGCTGGCTCACCTTCGTACCAGTAACCCCTAGGGGGTTATAGCACAATGGTTAATGCATCTATTTTTTTTGCTTGAGACAAAGTAAAGTGGCAGGGGGTATTAGGGCACATTGTTAGTTAATCCACATGGGTTATCCAAAGACAGGGGCAAATTGTCTGGTTAACCCATTAATGTACACGACAGAGTAAAATAATAAAGTATGGTAAGGTGTATTGGGTGAACAAAGTGGCTAACAGGTTACCCAAGACATGGTCACACAGTATGATATATGGTTATAAAATAGCCTGTAAATCACCTTAAGTGAAGTACACTATCTTCCAGTTTTTTTATGGATTCTTTAACACCTTGCCTAAAAACAGTTGACTTGTCTGAATCATCCATCTTGCTTGCTAATACCTAGACTAAACAATTTAAAGCATGTAAACATATACATCTGTATCAAGAAAACTATATTTCTTTTCACATAAGATATAGTCTTTGCAGCAGATGGGGGTCAACTGATAGAGTGAGAATATACTGTTGTTTTCTAGTCCTCCTTTTTTTATTAAAATGTAATAGTTTTGCGCCTGATTATAAATAAATTTAAGTGTAGTTCAATACCCTTGCTCCTCTAAGTTGTCAATATTTCTAACATTGACCAGCATCTGCGCTCTTCAGTGCTCAATGTAACCCAAAATTCGGCTGGCATATCATGACAGTTGTGTATTAATTTTGCTCTTGATGAAATTTAATAATTAATGACTGCAAGAATGAATGGAAAACAACAAAACTGTGGCTACATTTTTTTTCCACAGAAAGATCAATAAATTGTCATTCCTTTCAAATTTAATCTTTAAAAACAATAATCTTTCGAGTCGTGACAAAAATTTAATGATACGTGATGTTCACTATATTAAAATTAGAACCTTTTTGATCAAATTATAATAGCTTTACAAAGTTGCGTATTCTAATGCAAAGGGCAGATGTGTTTGCAACATATTTCGTATGGGCGTCAGTGCGATCGTGCGTGATAAAATTTGAGCGTATAATAGCATTAAATAACGCCCAAATTAAGAAACAAATACCCAAGACGTAAAACGCACATAATTTACTACTTACTTGGTTAGTTATTGGTGGAATATTAACGGGAAATTGCTAGGAAATCCAACCAAATAAATTGAAAAACATCTCCAGAATTTGACTTGAAATTTGTAAGTCTATGTTGTGTGTTTGTTTCTTTCCGAACCGGAAGTGCCTGACATGATGTGCGACCGCAAAAATTGTTGGTCAGTGGTTAACTTTCTAAATATTAAAGTGGCTATGCTACTTTTTGTGAGAGTTGTACCGTCGTTTGCATCCAGTGTGAACAGTTGCAGATAATGACATTGTATTTGCTTGCGTTACGTAATGAGTAGCTTTGATTACCTCTGCCAATCAGCGTGACTAATTAAACTAGTTTCATATTATTCTGACACTGCAGACCTGTGTTGTTTGATCGAGTTAAATTGGAAGCATTCTTCTCACGTGCAACTGATTTGAAATGTTAATTACTACTCATCAATTGCAGAAATTGACTTATAACAGCTTCTCAACTGTCCCTTCTACAAATTGTTTTGAGTGCCCCCCTCCCCCACCGGAAAGGATTATTGGCCCTGTATGCTTGTGAAAGTCATGTACAAACGTCACAACTGTGTCATATGAAACCATATGCCTATAATTGCCCTGAAATATGAGATTTTTTGATATTGATTATTGGTTAAAAGAACTTATTTTTGTAACCATGTAGGTTTGTTGCAGCAAGACATTATCAAATATTTATTGCTGAGCTGACACTGATGGACAATTACCAACAATGCTTTTACGTACTTGTCTGCCGAACGAATGCAATGCAGAGCAGCTCTGGAATGCTGGAGGTTAGTTACCACTTGCTTTTACTGTAAATGATCTAATATTAAACGCCCACTCTCTAATTACACTGTCAAAGTTTCTGTGATCACAGTAGGAATTTTGCATAGGGAAATTCTAAGTTTTAAAAGATTTGTAAGAAATGTTTGATGGAATTGACTCGGTGTTTAACACTGACGCGCCCGTATTCTAAAAGCTCACTCACACTCACACTCAATGAGTGGAGGTTCAATCTGAGCTTCCCTCGAGTGTCATTGTTGTTTTTGAATAGCTGGAGGGCTAGCGTCATACCTTACTATGTGACTACTCACCCTCCAGCTATTCAAAAACAACAGCATTGACACTCAAGAGAAGCTCAGATTGAACCTCCACTCATTGAGTGTGAGTGAGCTTTTAGAATACGGGCGTAAGTCAGTTCCCTCAAGCATTTCTTACAAATCCTTCAAAACTTAGAATTTACCCATCCAAAATTCCTGACTGTGATCACAGAAACTTTGATAGTGTAAGTCAAACCAGAATTGTGTTGCGTGCGGTATTACAGCGGAACAATACTGTCCTACCTGGGTGACGCCTCTTATCTAACAAACGTCCTCACCCTATAAAAGAGTACGAAAATTGCATCCTACAGTTCCTGCATTTGCTTCCCCGATGCTAGGCGCGCTGAGAAAGACGGGAAGCGAAACGGCCTTGGCACAATTCGCAAATTGTGAAAAGAAAACCCACGACTTGTCGACTTTCGACAGAGCGTTGACTGACTCTTTTCACACGAGTTCGCAGCGAAAATCGAACCCACGAACTTAGTTTAGAGGTGAAAGACGCTTGCTTCGACGAATGACGACTGAATTTGGGACTCTTCCCGCGGTTCAAAACAGATCCAGTCACGCGGGAAGACCTGGGACTAGGCTACGGAAATTGGGCAAAAATTGCAACAAAGAATTTGCTGGGCATTTAAACAATTTCGCGGGAACTTGCTAACTAATTTTAATTGCTAAATGGCCAATTGGAATTTGGGTGTAGCTGTAGCGAGTCTGTAATAACTTCCTGTCGTGAAACGAAAGCAAAGTCATAGCGGAACACCGCCGTCAAAACATTTAACATTGTACGCCAATCACGCTCAAATCATGTAAATATCAAGCGGAATTACGCTGTTCGCATTTCAATATTTCAATACAAAGACTACCGTGTTTATATATTTTGTTCAAACAAAATGAATTATTTGTTCAATTGCAACTATCGCGGAAAAGTCTAATTTGGCCGAAATTGACAACAACACCTGAAAGCATTCAAAAATTGGTCGGCGATAAGTTGACACGGTTTTGTTGCACTTCAATCTTCGTTTGCGATTTGCAGCTTAATGACCAATACAAGGTATGTACGTGGCAAAAACAAAAGTAAACATTTTGTTTACTATTTATAATTCTAAGAATTTTGAAATCCGGAGCAAGACACACTATTTACTTTAGCCTATATACACGGATATCTCCAGCTGCAGGTTTATTTTAAGATTTTTAAAGAATCGCTCTCCATGCAAAGCAATTGCCAATGCCTTCCATCCAATAACTTTAAAGCCTGGTTTTACATTATCGAAGTTTCTGCGGATCACAGACGCAGTAGGAAGATTGCATTTAGATAAGTTCTAAGTTTTGAAAGATTTGTAAGAAATGTTTGAGGGAACTATAACTCGCGGTGTTCAACACTAAGTCCTTCAAACATCTCTTAGTAATCCTTCAAAACCTTAATTTACCCATGCAAAATTCCTACTGTGATCACAGAAACTTGGATAGTGTATTCAAGACAACATTCCATTAGGTTTTGTGATGATACCATGGTATCACTTTCACTTAATTTCAGTTTTAATAGTGTTTACGCACACAAAGGCGAAATATCGTGACAAAATATTTATTGACCCAGTTGGCAATTGTTTTATAGTAAATTAAACGGGAAAAAATAGAATTCCGCTTTATATGACTTGAGATAATATTTCATTCTTAGAACAATTGATCATAATTTTGCTACAATAAATTTCCGAAACTGTGCAAAAATGCGGAAATGAAATTTGTTTGACTGCTGCGATAAAGGTTTGATTTAATAAGGGAAGTTTGACTTTTCAACTGTGTCTGGTGCAGCTTTGTAAAATTGTAATATTATTGTAATACGTCCGTCATAAGTTGTTACTGGGTAAGAGCTTTTGAAAGCGTTTTATGGCTATTTTCGCTTTCTGTATGCACCCAACCTTAACATTGAGGAAACTGTTTAGAACAGCTGTTTGGTATTAACAAAGATTATACATACCCAATAATCAAAAACGAAAGTGTAATGTCTAATGATATTATAATCAATCAGGACTACAGTCTATAATATTTTGATTTCATACAGATAATTTATATAGACTATGTTACTATATTAAGCGTATTATTTGCAAATACATGATAATGCTTGATTTCCGTTGCATCGAAGAACAATATATACTGCATCTCTGTGATCCCAAGTTATATTGATTTATCGAAACTCTCGACCACCTGGCTGCGATAGTTATGAACTGATGAAGCGTATTTCAGAGCCATCATCAAGGAATACCTGAGTAAAACACATCACTCAGTTGAATCGATGCTGCCATAGCTCAATTGGTAAGGTGTCAGTATCACATTCGCTGTTTGTAAATGCTGACAACAAAATGTTGTTGCTCACGAGTCGTGCACATATTATATTACAGTATATTATATTACAGTAAGCTTGTTACTTCCCTATTTTATAAGCCTTGGTTACTGTTGATCCGAAATACTTTATGCTGGAAAGAGTGTAAGGCTTACAGTAAATGAAATAAGCTAGATTTTTATTCACATTCATTTTCACGGAATAGCGCGCGTCGAAGTCCATGTTCACCTATAAATTACGCAATTTCAGTATTTCACACTACTGGGCAAACATTTTCGTCGCAAAATAACAATTTGGTTTCGGAATAATAATAATAACATGCTTTACAGGTTCGAATATACGATTCACTTTTGTCGAAAAACTAATCACCCAGTTGTGTACGTTTTTGAAGAACATTTATGTCAAAGAGGAAGAGCGATATTTATTTACATTCTATTTTCGCGGACTGGCGCGCGTTAAATTTGCATGTGCAATGATTAGGCAATTTTTGAGCCAACCTCGTTCCGCAAATGTCAATTTGGTTTCAGAATAACAATAACCGCACAAATATACAGGTCTGAATATATTGAAAATGCTAATGCGTGGTTTATCTTTCTGTATGTCGTAAAAAACACGTGATTTTCAATGAGACCTACGCTGCCAGTACCCAGGGGGTTTGTCCTTGAGCCAATTATATTTTCCCAGTATGAGCACGAAATACAATACAGCGAACGTTTTATAGTGGCGTTTCCGCTCGAAGTCTCGAGATTATTTTGCACATTAAGGACTGCCCTGTCGGCAAAGACGGGTTTTGGTAAAAGTACAAATGGTCTATAACGACACACAATGGTGTCCTGTGATAATATACTATGGAAAAATCGGGCAGTAGAACTCTTACGAATCTACAGACTGGAAGCGATTCTGGCTCAAGGAAACCCGTATTAGAAGCGAATCGTGTAGCAAGCGAAGTGAATCGCGAAAAGTCGGAAATATGTGTTTCTGCCAAAGAGAAAACGCCTGATTTGAATACTCAAGGCACTATACAAAGGAATTTTGCGGATTTGATGAAATTTGGACCAATTTATGGCCCCGTACCATCTCAGTATTTCGATCAGTTTTCAGGTATGTGTGTTTTTATATACAGACTTGTAGACGTGTAGTAAGCGATTTTAAACCCACCCCATACACATGGCTATATCACGTTTGCGGTCTTTTCCTTAATTTATCTATGCAAGGATCCTACTAAATTATTGAACAGAAGTGCTGGCTTTTAAAAGCGTACAATGTTTCCTGCATAAAATACAATAGATGAGTCTAAGTGGAATTCTATTCCCCCATATGTGGTTTGTGTCTATATCAGCAGATGTCGCTCGCGGAAATGGCGACAGTCGCACAACATCTCGCGGGTTTGACAGCTTTTTCCGAAGCCGTTTCTCGCCTAAATGCTTTTATTTATACACCATTCGATAGCTAAAATACTGCTCTATGCAGGAAAATTATTCGTCAATGTCTGAAAACATAAACGCGGCCCAAAAAGCGCTTTGAAAATTGTTGCGCAGAGCGTTATCGATCTCGAAAACCATCCGTGCTTGGCAGAGAGCGTTTTCGCGTATTCGGTTACTTCGCAAGCAAATACGTTTTAACTCGGAGTTAATAACAATTTTATTCAAAGAAGAACGCTATTCCTTTCACTATTTTATCACACGAAGAGTTCTTCCTTATAAGTATACGAAAATAATGAAAACTACAAATTCCTTGTAATTGAATAGCCTCTCAAGACGGCCCTTCATATCAAAGCATGCTCGCATTATTCGGCACGAAAACTCTTCTGCAATACTTTAGAACGAATATTCTGTGCTCTTGTAATGCATTTGAACCCACAAGACTTTTTTTCGCAGCGTTTCGCGAAGAAAAAAATAGCTTGGCAACCAGACGATTTTAATAGAAATGTCGTCATTCTAACCTGCCCACTTTCACATGCCATGCCAAATATCTGTTTACGGTTTGAAAATATGCTTATGTGAAAGCCAGGCGATGGATGTAGATATATCGAGAATATCCCCGAATTGCCGAACGTTGGGGCTGGTATATTTTGTGAAAGGCCTTCTTAGATCTAAGCGAGCAAAGAATTCAATTTTGCGTAGGCAGATTGATATATATTAAGGTATGTTGATGAAATTTTTCAAGGATTACGCAGTTATTTTGCGTTGTATATAATTTTCTCGCGTTGTATATGCTCTCAAACACTCGCTATGAAAGTGCTACATTTCGGGGTTCGATTATTCAACGCAAAACTAATGAATATAGAAGAATACACAGATCACAGGAAATGCATACGCAGCTCTCTAATTGTTGACGTATTATATTGTCAGATAGCCATAGGGCATATTAATCAGTGAGCCCCATAAAGGCGAGTTGTGAGAGAAGGCTTTGTGAGATGAAAATGGAATCTTAGTTTTACCTTAAAAACGCTGAGTTTGGATTTATTTCACGAAATGGCATAGAATGGTCGATGTCTGTAAGCTATAAATGCATTTTCATCGCACGACAGAAGGTTAGTATAATGTGCGAATGTTGATTTTAAAACATACGGCGTGAAGCCTCATACTGAACAAAAAAACAATTTAAAGCTTCATTTATACTATTGAGATGTTTGAGAGCATTCTAAAAATCAACATAAAAACCTCGGTTTTGTAAATAAGGTATAAAATTTGATTCAAAGTAACAGCACCGATCAGACACGTACTTATTCAATACCAAATTAGGGTTATGATTTTCGCGATTTTTCAGGCGAACGAATCATCTTTGGGAAAGCACTATAATTTTTTGTTATAGATATAGTATTTCGTTACCGATTGTCGTTTCTTTGGAAGCGCTAGCGTTTGTAGTTTTCGATTTATTTCGATTTTCGTGCAAGCGACTCGTCAATAGTCATAGATCTGCTTGCGTAGGCGTGCACTATGGGGTCCGTTGAGACTTATAATTATTTTTCCTAAGTCAAACATAATTGTTTTTATTCAAATGCTAACTTCGTTTTGCTTGAAAGTTTCGTATAATGAACACATATAACATCATTCCTTTTGAGTTTTGGGCTGTACTATATGGTATTGAACACGCATTTCGGAGTCTAGCTGATATATATTGGTTCGGTTATCTGCTCATGCTTGCGGTCAATAATAGTTTAGTATATTCATTTGTACATCTAAGCCATAACTCATAAGAATTAAGCCTGGTATTAAATTGTATAGCGACGCGAATGGCTAATATGAATAACATAAAACAATAGCGTTTAATTTCAACTACAGTCTACACACAGTGTATGGCTACGCTTCGCTGGCTAAAGTACAAGAAAAGAATTCATATAGTATATTTTTGCCTCGACCAACCGCCAGTTTTGTGGCTTTATTAATATGTCTATACTAGGAAATATTCAATTGAGTTTCTTTGTAATGTAGAATTCAATTGTTAAGCGTCTGTTTGCCGTAGTATACACAGGCTTAAAGACAATACACAATACTTTCGTCTCAGCAGTAGGGAGACTCGAGTAACTTTCGTTTTATACACTCTCTGCTTTTCGTTATTTTCACTTTGCAAAAGATTCAAACAAATTTTAACGCGTAATGACACACGAAATGAGTATTTATACAGGCTGTTTGTATTGGTTACGCCGTGAATTAACTTTCTAGCAGGAAATTGGGTGTATTTTTATGTATGCGTGTGATATTCCGCACACCTTTTTAGTATGGCGATTTTTTCCCGACCTTTAAGGGCACTGTGTTTCGGGGTATCGTATTCCATGAACTTCGTTCCTTCGTTATTAAGCTGACATCCTCGTGATGCGCGCGTATCGCATGAGATTGTAATTATTTTGATGTTGTGCAAATACATGTCACAGTTGGAAAGTGAATGCGCTTTCGACCGCAGATGTGAGCCTTTATTAGATTTAAATACTTTAGTACGTGCGTTGCAAACTTGCAACTATAGTTTACAGTGACACGTTTTGCGGCTGTTAGCATAAAATAATAGTTACTATGTATTTTCGCTTGCACAGGACAGTTTTAGGAGTTTAGCTTTTCCTTGCCAAAACGTGAGTGGCTTTAATCCTTTATATAATAGTGACTCAGCACTTTCTTCGTCATAAAGTGATTTTACGTAATATTATTTGTATTAAACTGCTGTGTCTATAGTATATAGGCTTACAGCATGTGGCAACTGCTGTGGAAATACATGTTTTGCGGTTTTCATCATCAAATAATATTTACTTTTTGTTTTGGATATATTTCCACGATGTCTTTATAAATTATATAGGTGTGGACGGTGGATTGTTTCCGAACTTACAGTTTCGAGCCAAAATCCTTTCACTTTTCACACTTCAGTCAGAACCTTGTCCTTGCCTTCTTTCATAATTTTAGTTCTATTACAAAAAAGTCAAAAAGATGAATTATATAACCATGTCATGACAAGCACTCACTTAAATCCTCAAACCGTGGAGAATAGCAATTCATGATCGACGTAAAATTCGTTTCTTGAGCGTGGGTTGTGAATTTTTGGAGCATCCAGAATTTTACCTATTGGCAGATCTTATATGTTATTTTAATTATATGATTGCTTATAATCCTATTATAATAGCCTCAGTTTGAGGCCTAAAATTGTACTGAAAAAATATTTTGACTCGAAAATTTGAAGTCAAATAATATACCCATACACAGTGACTAAAAATTATTAAAATTTATGAGTAAAATTTATACTGTATTACTGAATTTCATAAATTTAATTCACTTTGCCCTTTGAGTAATGTCAATATTTTGAGTCATTTTACTCGAGTTTTTGCAGTGCATGTACAGTAACTGCTTTTAGCCTTTACTGGACTGGCTCTACTGCCTATATAAGCTACAGCGTATATAAGCTACAACCTATAGACGTTGTCATTGTCACGAGTTTGGTTAGTGTCTGGTCGTGACTGGGATAATGAATAAACTAGAGAAATTTATGCCTACAGGCAGTATACGGATACACTACAGTTGCCACTTTTCAGAACGTTTGCTTTGCAACAATCAATGAGATTTTGTTTGATGCGAAAATTCTTGCCTAAAATACTCTTTAGTTTAGGTTGCATCGCGTAAAGTATATAAAGTATAATGTCTTCAAGAAATAAAGTCATAAAGTCCCCCGGTTGATGAGAGTGCCATATTTCGCTACCAGCCCACGATAATAATCGACTAATAGTGATAGTATGTGACTTTTATCAAGACAATTAAGATTTTATAAGGCAAGTTCTGAGACACCATCGGAAACATCGTGATACTATCTATACTCTAGGCTCAACGTAAACTATCTTGTTTCCTAACAATGTTTGCTATAGTTTTATACTGCTGATATTACTATATTTATACAACTTATAAATATCACTTAGCATTTTTGTATGCATGCGGAAACTTTTAACGAGGAAATATAAAAGTTTGATCTTAACTAATATTTCCGTTGCTACGAGGACAAAGACTGTGAGTATCTGAAACAGGATTGTGACATTCATATCCTGGTAATAAATATTTTCCTAATTTAGTAATTATAATATGCACAGGCTGCAATGATACCAGTGACAATTGAAGATTTTAGTTTCCCGATAAAGATTAAAAGGCGACGTTATTTACAGTAAATCTAGAACAGTCTGGTCTGTTCCAGAGTGAAGGATTGTCAAGGAGAATGCCCTTCATCAGGAAATTACTAACTTCGGGCTTCGGTACTAACCTCTCGACGAAGGGCCGTCGTTTGAAACGTCTAAGTTCCCCTTGTATCTTTCAGACAATTGCATCCCTTGGTAAACTTTATGATTTAAAATTAAAGACGCTAGCCAGTAGCCTCGTCAACTGTTTGTTGGGTTCCGCGAGGTATACGAGAAACGAAAATGTACATAATTCATAAATTGGTTGATTGGTGTGATCCGTGTATTATATTACAGTGTATTTATGACCATTTTCTTTCAATAAATTCTTGAAGGAATAAATTGACTCGGCTAGTTTAACATCAATCGGAAGACTATGCCAGAGTTTAGCCCCACTATACTTGAAACTATAGACTGTATCCCAAAAATTATGCTTCATTTTTATAGATTCTGTAGTATAAAGTTAAATCCTAAATTTAAAATTACGTTCGATTGCCTTGTTTTGAAACTGCTAAAATGTTGCAAATTTACCAAAATCATTGAAATTTTTATTCTGTTGCCAGCGAGTCGCTGTTGATGCTGTAATGATACTTGTGTTTTAATATATAGATTATGCAACTCTATTATTCAAAGTTTGATAATTACAAGGTCTTAGGTTAATTAAAAATACCCTAGAATGTCTTGAAAAGATTACTATATGTCTTGAAAAGATTACTATATACTTTTGTTTTAGAAATGTTAATTATATATAGCTTGATATACAATGTTATAATTTAATGCTGAGACTGGGTGTGCTCATTGTTGGTTTGTCGTATCACGCGCGTTTACGATCATATAGTGTAACTATAATATTACGCAGTAATATTATGTAATGCGTGGTTGCACAATAACTTAACGCCTACTATAGTTCTATATTTATATATAATAAGTGAAACGTTCAAATCCAGGCCAAATGATATTAAATATTCATGATACAAACCCATTTAATTTCCCTTATGATAAACCACGAAAATGTCTCGTGCAAACTTAAGATTTGTGTGAATTGTGCAGTCTCTGTAGTAGAGCGTCTGCTTGTTGGTTTAATTTAATTAAATATGCAAGTTCAAATCCCAGTTTGACTTTGAGTCATATATTTCTCCTGACCCCAACATTGGCTCTGAAATTCTGAATATTAAATGAGTAATGTCTCTGATTCTGTTCTTGAAATTCCACTCGAAATATTATCTACTAGCTATCCGTGTTGCACTTGAAAATTGAAAGTTTATTGCATGAAAGTTTATTGCTGACCATGCATACTGAGCCTTGTTTGAGGTATAATTGAGTTAAGTTTATTGTCACTTTGTGTTTCGATCTTTTGGAAAAATTTAAGACATAAGCGTTGTCTATTATCATTCAGCCGACAGGGATAGGGTTTTATAACACTTACCCTGAGCGCTTATCGGTGACATCGTTATGTTTCGTCACAAGGCCATTCTATAGGGTTAGTGTCTTGGTTCTATATTATCACCCTAAGTTTAAAAGTTGATGATAGTTCTACCGGGTGTACCAAAAAAAAAACTGGACACTGTTTAATTTCATGTGACGTAAAAGCTATAAAAGCTATCGCAATGAAATAAAGCTCATTGCATTCAGAAAGGACTAACTTAGGTTTTGATATATAACACTTGAATTTACATACAATATTGAGCGAGATACAACCAAAATAAAAATATTTATTATTTAACAAGCATAACTATAAGGTATAACTATAAGGTAATTATAAGAAGGTTGTTTTATGCTATTCATTTTTGGCATTTTCAAAAACAGTAGTTCAACGTTCAAACATCAATAGCGCAGTCTATTAATATTGCACGTAAATTCAAACGCCATATATCAAAATCTAAGTTAGTCCTTTCTGAATGCAATGATCTTTATTTCATTGCGATAGCTTTTATAGCTTCACCGTAGCGTAATATATTCATTGACTGCAAAGTAACAAATTTACCATAAGCCACGAATTTTCTGCGCGAAATACAAAATTGGCGCAACGAACCTAAACAAATTGAAAATTTAACGGTATAAAACGTAGAAACATACAATTTTGGCAAAGACATGAAAAACAGAATCATTGTAAAAAAAAAAATTGTAGCTATCAGTGACTTACACGCTGCCAAATAAAGGTCAAAAGTCAAAGGGGAAAACGTAATACCCTGGCCATATGCCAGTCGTACATGAAATATACATATAATAGCAACAAATGCTTTAGCAAACAAACTGTGCGTCAGCATTTGGCGATTAAAGGCTAGAATACTCCAATGAAAATAAATGAATGACTAAAGTGCCTTGAAATACTTTGAATTAAAAACATTGCATTACATTTCGGATTAGAGAGCTAAGATTTCACGATAGTGATTGATTGTTTGATCGTTTGATTTAGTCTATTATATACCTGTGATGCGGCAGCCAGCAGGCATGCCAATGATATTATCATTTAAATTCACCACTTGGTTTCTTACGTCAAGATTTTCTGGACATTGATTGCTTTGACGTAAAACGTGGCTCACTGTAGAGTACTGAATACACCCACGTTTCAGATGTCAGGTCGTTCAGACACAAACCACGACAACTTATTGTATAGAATACTACGTACATTTGACCCCCACGTTTGAGATATCTTTTTCAGGTAGTTCAGACACAAACAACGGCAGCTTATTGTAGAATACTACCTACACTGGACCACCACGTTTGAGATATCTTTTTCAGGTAGTTCAGACACAAACCACGACAGCTTATTGTAGAATAC